ATCAGCTGTTTCCAGGTAATCAAAGTCTAAAAGTAGACAGTAGTGCCCAACATTGTGTGTTGATCATTTTGACAGAGACGGTGTGTAAGACTGGCATGGTGTTGCTCTGTGGTGAGATCACGTCGCGGGCCAACGTGGACTACCAGAAGGTGGTGAGGGACACCATCAAACACATCGGCTACGATAACTCTGACAAAGGTGAGAAAATAACTGTAGAAATGGGGGAACTATAGAGGCTTCCTCTTAACGTTCCTGCTCACTATCCTTCTGTAGGTTTTGACTACAAGACGTGTAATGTGCTGGTGGCTCTGGAGCAGCAGAGTCCGGACATCGCTCAGGGAGTCCATGTTGACAGACAGGAGGAGGACATTGGTGCAGGAGACCAGGTAGGACTGTTGCAATGTGTCCTTTGGCTCATGTTGGCCCAGGGGACTGGGTGACAGTGGCAGACGTCAAAGCTGTCTACACATACGATCTAGCTCTACACATACGATCTAAAACTAGCAAGTCGACAACTCAAACATCAAGCAAGTGTGACAACACAAGACACACCAATATTACTTACTAGACCAACTGTGTACACAGAAAGAATGCCAGCTCACCATAAGTGTCTTTCTGTTTGATTTCACGAAGCTCTCACCAAGTTCTGGGAGCCTTTTGCTTGGTCACTCTCTTTTTCTCTTGGCAACTGTCCTGCATCCTGTGAGCTTTTTAGCTCATGCCAACATTTAAAATCTAGTCCGGTCTCTTACTAGGTCACTCTCTCTTTTTCTCTTCCTCCTTCAATGTCTTCTTCAGTCTCTTCACAGCCTATGCCAAGCTACCAAGCTAGCTTCTTCCAAATAACTTACATTGCACATGATATACTTTTTGCTTCTTCTTATAGCTTGCATGCGGAAGAGTTGTGTTGGTGCCATAAACCATTACCCCGTTGTCATGACTAATGTCCTGCCTGGGATTCCAAAGTTACATATCGCAGTAGCAGTGGAGCTAGTTTCAAAAACTTCATTTAGCTATTTTAGGCCATAGGACCCCAACCTAGGGGTCAGGCCCCTCCAAAGGGTCACAAGATAAATCTGGGGGGTCGTGAAATGATTAAAGACTGAAAAACAGTTACTAGTTTGCTACACAAATTTGTAATTATTTTTGGGACTTTTCTTTAGTATTTGCTTTTTTTGTGATATATTGGATAATTTGGCCCCTTAGGGCCTTAAACAGTTATTTAAAGGAGATCAAATGAGACGTTTTGAGGAGAAAACATGCTTTGATGGAACTGCTAACAACTCAAAGACATCTGAAACATGACAAGAGGCCCAGACTAGACACCTTTTTTATATAGGAGGTCACAAGCCAAAAAGCATTGGAACCACTGGTTTAATCTAGACAATATATTGTATTTTATAAGATTATCATATGTTTTTTATGTAAATTCTTAATCTGAAAAAGTAACTATAGTAACTATAAGTAAAATTTTCCCTCTAAAATGTTGTGGAGTTCTTATTTTATATGAGTCCTTATACCTTATTTTACTGGATTTTAATTATATCAATACAATACTGATATTATATCAATATAACCAGCTTTAGTTTACCCCTCACGGGCCGCAGTGTAACACAGTGCATATTAATATTTTGTTGTCTACCTTTTTGTTACACATTTAACCAGCATTACTATTCACTGCTGATATGTGTCGCTATGCTGTAGTTTGCATCTTTCTTTCCTTCCTGTCTCTCTGTCTCTGCTCTGCAGGGTCTGATGTTCGGCTACGCCACAGATGAGACAGAGGAGTGCATGCCTCTCACCATCGTCTTAGCCCACAAACTCAACGCAAAAATGGCTGAACTCAGACGCACCGGCAACATCCCCTGGCTGCGTCCCGACTCTAAAACACAGGTGAGTTTGTGTATTTCAACACAAACGGAAACAACACCACAGCAGTCTTTCTATGAATTAGTTTATTGTTTCCACTTTGAATGCCTTCCAAGAGACTTATTTTGGTGCCAGCAGACAGAATCGGATCAACAGTGGCTACTGCAAGTACTTAAGATAAAGCTCTCTGTGTAGAAATAATAGACTTTTGAGTGATTTAGAGGCAGTTAACCACTGACTGCAACATTAAGTGTCTAATGCCTTTGTGTCCCGGTTCAAACGTAGGTTTGTTAGAACATCCAGGTAACACAGAGGTTTAGATTTATCCCGGATTGAACTGAGCACACATTTTTACTACACCAAAGAAGTTCAACAAGTTCATGTTAGTTTGTTAATTCATTAATTAAATTGAACTGAAATTTAATGAACCTTAAAATGAAGGAGAGCTCGCTTTTATGTCCTCTTTGCCATTACAGTATTGAACAAACTGCCTTGCTGACTATGTTGTGTGCTGGAATATATGAATATTATTCACAAGGACTCTAGTATTTTCTTTATATCTGTGTGTTTCTATGTTGAACTGGCTGTGAAAACAAATCTCCCTCTAGGACAATAAAGTCTAAAATCTAATATTGTAGATTAGGAGAGTAATTATGACAACTTCCAAAATTGCACACCATCTTTTGACTTCATGTCTGTCCCACAGGTGACAGTACATTATGACCAAAAGGACGGAGCTGTGATCCCCAAGAGAGTTCACACCATCGTGATCTCTGTCCAGCATGATGACTGCATCTCTCTGGAGGAACAGAAGATGGTCCTCAAGGAGAAGGTAGAGCCTCACAAACACAATTAACTGGTATCAGACTAATGTAATGTAGGATGAAATTAAGTCATTTCTTTGGTTCATGATTCATGTTGGATCGATTCTATCAGGTGATTAAAACCGTGGTTCCTGCTAAATATTTGGATGACAAGACCATCTACCACCTCCAGCCAAGTGGTCGCTTTGTCATTGGAGGACCCCAGGTGACCATCACACGCAAGCTGCTTATTTCATATAAAAAACAGATTTACAACTTAAAAAGTCACTTCAGTTTGCTCATCTTCCCCTCCTTTTTTTGCCCAACAGGGTGATGCTGGTGTGACAGGCAGGAAGATCATTGTAGACACATATGGAGGGTGGGGAGCTCACGGGGGCGGTGCTTTCTCTGGCAAAGACTTCTCAAAGGTGGACCGCTCAGCTGCTTACGCTGCTCGCTGGGTGGCCAAGTCTCTGGTCAAAGCCAAACTTTGCAGGAGAGTTCTGGTTCAGGTGTGTGTGCAGCTTCATTCATTCACTGACCAGCATTTGAATTATAAACATGTGCTGATCTACCTGTCTGTGTGTTACAGGTGTCTTATGCTATCGGAGTAGCCCAACCTCTGTCTATCTCTGTGTTCACTTATGGTTCCTCCCAGAGAACAGAGTCAGAGCTGCTCCACATTGTCAACAAGAACTTTGATCTGCGGCCAGGAGTCATTGTCAGGTGAACATGCAAATATATGACCTCTTTGTCCCCCACGTGAAAGACAGCTTTATTTAAAGGCGCTGTGTGAAGATTTTTTAAGTGATAAAAGCATTTTTCATATTAGCCAGATGGCGGAAGTTTTTTGTTTCTGGAAAATTTGTGATGCCTGTGTGTGTGCGGTTTCCTTCTGCCGCTGCATTTTTTATATTACCACTAGGGTGCACTAAAGTTGATAGTCTTTGTCTTTAGTATTTGTAGCATTTCCCTATTTTCCCTATTTAACTATTTTGCAGTGACGTCTGTGTGTAATTACATTATTATTATTATGGGGACAAGTATTTAGTACAAACTGGATGCCACATACCACAACATTTATAGTTTAGCACAAAACACACGCAAAATAAAATAATCATCAAACTAAATAACAAGCACCAGATCATAAATGGCTACATGAACGATCCCTCAACGTCATTTTAAAATGATCCTGGTCATGATACATTTTAAGTTCTGTGAGTTCCACATATTGTTATCCAGAACAGAAAATGCCTGATTTTGATACATTTTCCATTCATGAGTATGTAGAAATATTTTTGTCTGCAGATGTGATACCAATAAGAAATACGGCAAATTAAAAATGGACAACCACAACTACAAATATAGAATTAAAACAACAACACTGGTGTTATCCTGTAATGTGCTTACGGTCCTTTCTCACCTCTGATGTTGCATTTCTTCTGTATCCTCGCCAGGGAATTGAACCTGAAGAGGCCGATCTACCAGGAGACAGCCTCTTATGGCCACTTTGGTCGCTCAGAGTTTTCTTGGGAGGTCCCCAAAAAGCTTGTCTTCTAAATATCCACCTGCTTGTCCTGATCGACTCACCTGGAGGCTGAACAAGATGCCTTTTCATGGGCTACAACTGCCTGATTGGACATTGTTTTAATAGGAAGAACTAAAGCCAAAGTTAGGTATAAGTCAGCTTTAAAGAGGGGAGAAGATAATTATATGACATATAATGGGACACTCTCCCAATGAGGACATGTGAGTAACCAATCCTTTCCCTCCTGTCCTTTTCTAACCCACAACACATCCAATTATTGGTGCTTTAGAAATATACATACAATCACTTGATAACTTACAATGAAGGAACACCACAGCAAATAAAATACTCTCAAGATAAATACTTCTACCCCACTAGAAGCAATAGTGTTTTACCTCAAAAAGCTGTGAATGTTGCTTTATGTGGCCAGGATAATGTACAGAGACAACCTCAGTACTTCATTTACAAAATCGACAACAGCAAGCATTTCATCAGTGACTATCGTATCAAAGTGTAATTATTGGTCAACCAAAGGCTTGGCTTTAGAAAAAAAAAGAATCTTTTTGCCATGACTGTAAAATTCCTTTTCTAAGTCTCATTATGTAGTGTGTGCAACGGGAAGCTGTTTGCTCTGTTACGATCACCACTGTACAAGAAGACAGGTCATCTCTTATCTCTTAGACTCATACTGCTCTTCTTTTCTGTCATCCTTTCAGCCCTGTTTTATTCTAATATCAATATCACTTTTATTGCAGCTCAACTGGTGGCTGATTTGTATCTTTATCTTTTTTTTTTTTTTAATCTTTTTTAAGTCTTTTTCTTGTTTTGTTTTTTTATCCTGCAGGGCAGGCCTGCTGCTGTGACTGGGTCTGTGAATGTGTCTCTTTTTAGCAAATAACTAAAATTCTTTCGTAACTCTGACTTGATCTCTTCTGTCTTTGTAGTGAATTACCAAGCTGCAAGCTGTTGAGACTAAAGTATTTAGTAGACTACTGATGCATTTTTCCACTTTTATAAGCCTATGCTAATCCACGTTAATATCTGACTGAATACTTCTCTTATTTTATACAGCCTGCTTCTTCTATATCATTTAGATATTTTGCTTAAGTTTGCTCTATCTAAAAACATCTGTTGTCTCCTTACACTGCAGCTCTACATTACAGCAGAGATCCTTCTCCATGTATTTCGAGGGAAAAAGGGAGTGTTTATTAAAATATTTTTCACAGGGCATTTACAAAAAATAAATTTAAGTCAGCTTTCCCCATTGCTTAACACAAATTATTTGATCTTATTTCCTTCTGAAACACTTCTGATGGGTGTGAGGAAGTGTAAACAGTACTCGCCTCAAAACGTCATGTGGTGAGCGTAACGAGCTGTGTCATCTACAGCCCGCATTGTTTTTGTAAGGGGGGTTTTTCCTCTATTTAATGTGTTGATCTGGGTCATCTTCTGTCAACTTTGTTGGCAAGAGAAACTGGACAATGTAAATAATTAAACAATAAAGAAAATTAAAGATATAAACTGTTGTCTGGCCCTTTCTACAACATGCTAGATTAAAGGTATGTGGTGAAGATAAAATTGCAATTACAGAATTTGGATGCAACTTACATTTTTTTTTATTTGTTGAACATTAAGGCATAACACGATCACATGACTTTTCATCAAAATAGAACTTACAACCTAAACCTCTTTGGTTTTCATCACCAAAATCATACATAAGGCACATAGGGAGCATTTTGCATTGAGAATTAAGTATCGAGTAACAGATTTCTGTGAGGTTTACAACTGCTTGTTAGTTTGTCAGAATGTTCTCATCAACGATCCACTGACTGCAGATTTAACCATGTGAGCAGCGTCTGCATTCTCACAAGCTAACTAGACAGGAATGTTCATTTTTAAGCTTTATTGATTAACAAAAATAATCTATTATATTATAACTAACCCGCAAACCTACAACTGTGAAAAAGCAGTTGTGCCTATACTAAACAAAACAAATAAACATAACGAATCCTCATAAGAAAAAAACGAATGCCATTAAAACAAAGACAACTGAAGGCAGAAGCAAGCAGAGTTCATTCTGCTTTGAATCAAACAATGTAGCTGGTGTCGTAACATTTTCCTGAGTGCAAAGTTCAGACTGATTGGTAAACGAGAACAAGAGGACAGGAAGTAGAGGGGGAGGCCGAGCAGGCAATGCAGAATGTGAATCTATATGAAAGAGTTTCTCATAATATTTAACAAATTTTTATAGTGCTCAACTAGAAATGGGGGCTTCATGTATAGATTCACACCATGCATAAACCATTAAGTAAAATTAAACACTATAAATGTGTAATGACAAAATGTTTCTTTCTAGAGCAGAATGAGCAGCACCATCATTTGACATAACATTTAAAATCCATCCAATCTGATTCTGTGATTTGTTAGAAACAAATGCATATTGTAAAAGCGCATGGTCACAAGGCCAAGCTTCCAGGTGATGCCAGGCAAAACAATCTGAAGATCACTGCTGAACTAAAGTCAAGAGGTCCAAGTGCTCTTCATGACTTAGCTTCACTGTTTTAGTAAATTGAGAAGTAAAACAAATGCAAATTTGGCCCAAACATGTAACCAACTGAGTATGGTCGGCTGAGGATACAAAACAATTTAGAATTTTTCAAGTACAAAACAAGAACCTCCTGTGAGCTGAGCTGCAACATTACAGCTCTGGTTGCAAAACAAACTTGTGTGCAATAAGCAGTTTGACCAGTAGAGAGAAGCAAGTGATCAGTGGTGTGGCTGGTGCTGTTTTTTGACCTTCCAGATTGCTCCACAGTACAGCATACACAAGTTTTTCACTTCAGTCTTGTTGAGAGTACTCATACATTCAGTCTGAGCAAAATAACTATATTTCAGTCCTTCTGTAACATACTGTGTGTGAAGAATGGTCTTGGTCTGGCACTAACAAAACCTCTGCCCAACAACGATATGGTTTGAGGGAGTGATATTTTTTCTGTGTGAAGGCCTACAAACAAGACCATTACTGTTGGTTTTTCACCAGACAACTCAGAGTGCGTTAATGTTACACTGAGATGTTGAACATTTCCTACAAATATAAACAGTAATTCTGGGTATCTGGATTACAACACAGCACATAATGTCAGAGACAGTAAATGAATAGAATCAACATTTGAATATCTGCGCAGAGGACCAAGTGAAAGGAAAATATACCCAACCGTGAGGCTAATCTACACTGACAGATATCAAAACATCAAGTCGGGTAGTGGCAAATATCCACTTTGGTATTTCTGGCACTCACAGGCGTGCATGCAACCTTCTGTCCCTGCTCCTCCACTATCAGCAGTCAGCAATGAAGCTGAGGTCGACCCTATGTCTCCATCGTATGGCTTTCATTCATCAGATGTTATCATAATCACAACTAAGCTCAGGGGGAGAAATGACAAGACCTTTTGTGTTTTAGCACCGATACCACAGGCAAACTGATATTTGGTATATTCTGCTGTACAGTAACACAGAGGCAAGACAGTGCAGCTCAGTTATGTCTTACACTACAAATCCTTCCTTTTCCCTTTGTCCCGCTACACCAGTTAGACATGCTGAAAAAACTCCAACTATGGAGAGAGAAAAGTAAGCAGGTAAAGCAATATGAGCATGTTGAGCTCCACCTTGGTGGGGAATAATGAGATGCAGACCTACATCCGTAGGACCTGAAGACACGTGTGATGCTTCGTCATCAAACTCAATAACCCCACTGCTCTGGCTTTAATTAGCTGGTGCGCATTTGGCCTCTGGACACTGTATCATCTCCCTTTCATAGTCTTTACAGAGAGGAAGTTAAAGCAAATACTATTGAGGTTTAAGGTCGTTATAGTGTATTGACAACAATGAGAGGGAAACCTTTTTCATACTCAGTCATAAAAGTTTGAATTTATGAGGCACTAGGTCTATGTATGTTCTCTATGCAGTTAAAATAATAATATGGCACATCACCCAAAGCTTCCAGACACACAAACACAATGTGGGCTGGGTCGCATGGATACTTTTAAAAATAGTGTTTGCTTGCACATGCTGAGTTGCTGAGCAGATGTAAAGTTGTTGCATATTTTAAAGCTGCATTAAGCAATTTTTGACCACAAAACAAACTTACAGGGGTTGTTACAGCCAAAGTCTGTGCCTACATGCACACCCAGCAGACACAGAGCAACATTATTATCCCAATGGCCACATGAGTCCAATATTTAATTTCCTTTTAGCCTTGGTTAACCAACTCCTGAGGAAATTATCTGGGTGTTGAGCTTGCCAAATGGAAGACTTTCTTTCCCATCAGCTCGTTAACTTTGGCTAGGTTGCGTAAATCAGAGTATGCAGGCTGAATAACCAACAGTCGGCTAAAATCAATTGAGAGTAGAGTGTTAATTGTCAGGGGATCCTGTACTATGAAGGACAATCATTTTATTTGTTAAGGTCAAAAATACTGTTAATGCAGGTTTAAATGATTGCAAAATGCAAACCGCTGCCCTGTTCTATCTCAAGGATTGACTGAAACATTTACATACTTCTATTTGACAAACCTTTTCTTTTCATTTATTGCATTCATCCATTCTCTAGTGGGAAAACAAGCATCCAATTTGACCCTGCTCCTACTGTAACATTCGCACACCATCTTCTCTCTCTCTCTCTCTCTCTCTCCCAACTAAAATACTGTCAGCTAGGCCGTCCAGCAGCCTTCACTCCGTTATGTACAATGAAAGCAACACAGCAGTCACCTGAAGTGGAAATGGTCCAAGGCCACTTACTGGGACAGGTTACAGGATCTCAGGGGGGAAAGTACATTTTCTTGATCTGATTGACAAAATACTCCTCTGCTGCTCACCGAGGACAGGACTGAGTTGGGGAAAAAATTTGGTTTCACACTTGTGCGATGTGCAAAATGCAAGTTTTTTAGAGACGCCGAGCTCTGATGTGAGCACAATACAAGATGAGTTCTCCAAAGTGGCAGCAGATCTACGCCCCTGTGGTTGAAATACAAGAATCCACTCTGCCGTGAAATGGCGACTGCACTGGCCTGGTTCATTTCAAAGCTTCAGACGAATGTGGCTGGAAATGAATTAAACTCATTTGACAACCACAATTTGAAAGGAATAAACAAGCCAACTGTGTGGCATCAAGATGTGCCAGCGGGCTACAGTATGGACATGTTTTCAGGTTGGTGTGGATGTAGCTGTGAGTGTGGACCGGGCCCTCCCAGCGCGTCCACCTTGTGTTCTCGCCCAGCAGGTCCCAGGGCCCCTCCTCTAGCCAGCACCGCCATGGTATCTCCTGACATGCTGGCAAACTCAAAAGCAAATGTCCCGTAAAACAGCATGATGATGACGCAGAACACCCATTCAAAGATGGCTGATGCGTGTTGCAGGACGAAGCTCTCCTGACAGAAAAACACACCGCCTGAAAACATGTTAAGGACAACAACAGCAAAGCCGTGTGGATGTCTGTTTACAAAGTACAAATGCAAAATTCAGATATCAACCCAGTTATTTTAAATACTGATTATGAAAAGAAACAGTTGCTGCTTCAAAAAACAAATATAGGACCATGTTGGTGTGCATGGTGCTAAAGGTACAGGTGAGATGAAGAGGAAACCTGATCCAGGAAGTCCAGTTTGAGTGATACATCCAAGAGTCTAAAACCTTGTAAGATGCCAAAACACTTTTTTTCTGAACCAGTGCTACGGTCGGTCTGAACACCGTCTATACAGCAACACAATAAAACTAAGAAGTAGCGTTTACCAATTTTAGTGCATTAGGCATCTACACAGAACGGTACAGTTTAAAAGAATTGTGAGCTTTAAATGCACTGATAGGTGGATTTTGTTACCATCAGACTGAGCCAGGCTAGCTGTTTCCAATCTCTACGCTAAGCTAAGTTAACCGACTACAGCTTCATATTTCCCATAACGACGCCATAAGAGTGGCATCAATCTTCTCATCTAATTTGAAAGCAAATAAGCGTATTACCCAAAATGACTAAATATTCCTTATAACCATGTCTATTAAAAGTTTTTACAGCATTGAGTGACGTGTAAAACATCTGTTTGAAAACATGTCCTCTACCACGTCCTCTATCACCCTTTGAATCGACTTTCATGTATAGCTGTAAAAGGAAAGACAGGATTTGACATTGAATACTGGAGGGAAACTGTTGTTGTGATATAAGTGTGTAGGGGATGTCTGTGCTTATTCAAGCTGGCAGTACTACGCTCTATTCTAAAGCACTTGACAGCCTTGAAGGCTGCCATCTGTTAGTGGCTGGAGAGGATACTGAGCACCAAGGCTACCAACGCCAGCAGGGTCATGCAGAGCCGGAGGTGGGCCACGTTGTACTCCCCCTGGGTCTTGGCCAGCCGGTAAGTCAGCGCTGACTGCAGGCACACAAATAGCATACTGGTGGGGAAGGCAATGCCTGCTCCGACATAGTGGAGAACTTTGGCATTATCCACCTGTCGTATAAAGAAAGGAGACAGGAGGAGATGGGGGGGTTACATTAAAATAGGTAAGACAAAGATAATGCACAAAATCAGCAGTTTAGCAGCTGACAGAAACCCTCTTTGAAAAAGAAACCACCACGTGGAAATTATCAGAAGGGGGCCAACATCAGACAGCTTCTGCATCAAGCTGTTAGGTCCAATTTTTCACTGTTGTGTAAAGAGTTAAGATTTCTTTCAGTAAGGAGCCAGAGAAGAATAAGTGAAAAAAAAGAGAGGGTGACATGTAGTAAACGACAGCAGCAAGCGGCACGACAGAACGCCTCTTTTTCCCTGCTGGTCACAAGAATAAGAAAACAATACACAAAAGAGCTGCTCAGGAGCATGTGACTACAGCTCCCACTGCAGGAGCCACACACACACGCGCGCACACACACACACACACACACACACACTCAAAAAAGCTCAGATGTACTGATTTGAACACATAAGAGATTCAATGGAGCTTTGACCAAAGCTAGAAATACATCTCTAAGGAATAGACTAATTTAGACAAACAACACAGAATTGCTGTTCTTGATTAATGCTCAGTGGTTAAAGTGTGTGTTTGGAATAACAATGTGCGTCTCCACCACATAATTCGTGGGGATCATTAGAGCAATAGCCTAGAAGTTATTTAGTTTTTTGGCCTCTAAGCTACTTGTCCATTGACTCGGCTAGTACATACTGAACATTCTTGTGCAGTAGGCTAATCCTGGAAGTGCCAAAGAAAGATGTCCAGACAATTCAATATGAAAAGCACACAAGGCAGCAATATGAGTCTTAGATCTGCCTGCGTCAACTCCAGAGCTGGAGGTCAAGATGGGAGAGGAATCGCAGCCAGGACAGCCAGTGTTTTGTTCACAGTGGGATTCTATTTTGGTCTGGTACGCTTCCATAGTAAAGTGGCTATTACACAATACTATTTCTTTTACTGTAATAACATTAAACTGGCACTGTGGGGGTCTGAGTGCTGTTGTTCTGCAAATGTTACTCACTATACTCAGCGATGGAAAAACATGCACAAACAACACACTTTTTGTTTTAACTGATGTTGTATTTGTCCTAGAGCTGAAATGATTCATCTGTTAGTCGATCCACAGGAAATGAATCAGCAAATATGCTGATAATCTATTAATCGTTGAAGTTCTTTTTTTAAAGCAAGAATGCAGAATATTACCTAGTTGTATTTTCTCAGCTAGACGATGGTCTGTACTGCTTGTGTTTGTGTGTGTGTGTGTGTGTGTGTGTGTGTGTGTGTGTGTGTGTGTGTGTGTGTGTGTGTGTGTGCTGCCTGGTGTCCCAGATTTTATCACTACTTGCAGTCATTATCTGCTGGCTTAATGATGCATTAAACCTTCGCTGTTCTACTTCATGTATGTTTTCACACTTTATGCGGTATGTCAGGACCATTTGCTGTCACAACACCGTGGGTTAGAGGCAATGGCAAGGAGGGAGACAGCGTGGTAGTAGGGGGGGAGAAATGTTTTAGATCAATAGATTTTTTCCAACTCTGTGATAAAAACAGAAGCTGTAAGAAACAACAAGACAAAGAAACAGGATGGACGTATAGGGGGAAAATGAGGATGAGGATAAGAATGGGCTACACTGACGAGCAAACAGCTCTCATTATGACCACTTTGTGTTTATCAGAAACTACATTTCTCGGAGCATCTGCCTTCATCTGTCTTTTTTACTGCTGAAAAAGTCACCAAAATGTGTGCCTACAAATCTCCATCTACAGATCCCCTTCACTGTCAAGGTCTGACACATGATCCTCTGCAGTGTAAGTCCGTATGTAAAATGTGGCTTGATGACTAAGCAAGGTCAGCCTAATGAGTCTGTCCCTGCAGACTGACACTGACCAGGAGTTCACCTGCATAAATGAATAGTAATGTTTTTCACACAGTGCAATGCTGGAATCAGCAGAGCTCACACTCTCTAGAGAGGAAAGTGGTCATAAATGTAAAGGTGTATGCAGTGATGGAATGAACCATCTAAAAAAAATACTTTTACTTTTGCTGCATTTAAAAACAGTTCAATGTTTTTGATTGTGTATTACAATGAATATATAAAAGGGTGACGAGATGTGCAGGGTGATGAGGGGTGTAAGGAAGTATTTATTTAAAAGGAGACAGAGCACAATAATGAACACTTCAGCTTTTGCATCCATATAAATATGCCAGATTTAGCCAGAAGGATAACTTTCATTTGTAGTCCCCACAAAATACAACACCATGCACATGTGGGAACAAGCCCAACGGACATCCAGCTTTCAGTTTTCACTTTCTGGAAATTGAACCACGTGAGACAAAGTGAAACGTTATTGACTTCCACCCATTTATTACACACCTGCTGTACCAAACGGTAAAATCTGCAACAGCAATTGTCACCACGGCCACCTACTTTAACCAGACCTTCAGCCTGGAAAAATACAGAAATTGTACACAATGTTCCCAGTTTTTTACAATATTTTATGCTAAGAGAAGGACTTTTCTCAATTTCACTGTAGCTTTTGATCTCATCTGTAGCCATGTCATATACTCTATGGTATTCATAATTTACGCCTTGATACTAGAACCATACTCACACTAAAAAAGTAGTAAAGGAATAGCTTGACATTTAAAGAATTTAATTATTAGCAGTCCAGCCAGCTTCACTATACCACTGTGTTTTTTTCTCCTCTTCCTGAAAGCACTTTTTGACCTAGCTGTGTCACTCTCGTGGACCTCTATGTGGCAGTGATGTGTTTCTCCATCATCTATTTATGTGCTTCTCTGCCCAAACCATCAGCCATGTTGCCAAAGCCTTGCATTACACACAGCTACAAACAGAGAGCAGTTGCCACCACAGAGTGTGTCGCCATGTGTTGTGTTTTTGGTACTTTCACTTTCTTTGATCCGTCGGGTTCATCAGGCTGCTGTCTGCTCCTGTTATTCCAACTTGTTTGTGGCTCTGTCCATGAATCTTTCTAGTCTGTGCTTTCATTTTGCAGCAGAATTTCTATTCTTCCATGTGGTTTGAACAGTTTATTCACCATCAATGACATCTCTATTTCCATCCCACTGGAATGTCCCCAACTATTAGAGATGTGAGTCTGAGAGCGAGCGGCTAAGATCAGCCCTCCAATTGTTATAGAGGAGGCCTCATCTACACACACCAGCTCCTCTCCATGCATGGCCAGACTTGATGACTCACTTCCCCCTGGCTCTTCCTGTAAAATTCCTCCCAGTTCTGCAGAACAGAGGCCCTGGAGAAGCGGGAAGAAGGTGCATACAAAATGCCACTGCACATCTGTTCCACACACTCCTGTAAAACGATTCTTCTTCTTCTTCATCACACAACACACACCAACATGCTGACAATGACCAATGACAACACTCAAGCAAACATTATTCTACTTTATAATGAAGCATGATTTCATTTCAAATAAAATCTTTTATCTCTTTAAATATTTTAGAATAAGTATCAATTTTGGTGGTCAAGAGGGCCAACGTGCAGCCAATGTAAGTCACATGTTGCCTCGCTTCTCGTCTCACTCCCATTATTACCTCTCAACAGGTCTAATATTTAGCAATCTTTTCAAATTTGAAGGACAAAACCAGAATAGTAACATTTCATAGTGGCAGCCTTTCATCAGAAACCAAACTATGTCTGTTTTATCTCTGAAGTCTGCCTGTCATTGTTTTTTAGAAAAATACCAAGGATATCTCATTAAAGTTACTCTCTTGCAGACACACACACACACACACACAGTCGAGGCATCCAGCCAGGGCTCCAAATATTTAAACTTGAAGAAATTCTTTCCCAAAGAACAAATATCTACAGGGAAAGAATTCAGGTAGAATTTCCTCACTTAGTGTCAAAGTCTTAACACTAAACTACCAGAAAAGCAGTGTGCGTATGTGTATGTGTTTGTTGTGTGTTTGATTAGGAGGGAGGGTGGCCATTACAGCAAGATTACAGCAAAAGCAAAAATGAAATCTTTGAGACATTCCAATGAAATGCAGTTCTGTCTTTTGCAACTTGTTACTTTGGTTATCTATATTTCTATATTTTTGACACTTATTTTCTTGCTTAATTATAATATCCTTGAACCAAAGTTGACATCATCAAATGTCTTATTTTTGGCTGACTAACAGTCAGAAAGCCCCAAAATATTCAGCTTAACATGATTTAAGATAAAAAACATAAACAGTTTTTATAGTTCAGTTTTATATGTCTCACAGTTTACCCCTATACGTCCATCCTGTTTACTTTAAAGTCAAGGTCTCTCACTCTCTCATATGAAAGCACACACAAACTGTCGTATTTACTTGTCAAATCTTACTTTTGTATAACTATGTTAGATCTTATTCTTCATTTACTGTAAAGGTTGTTATTGCATTTTATCTGTGTTTGACTGGGTGAGTAAACTGGATCACCATACCTGGAAGTTGCCCACCATGATGAGTCCAGCGGCACAGATCCAGCCCGTGGAGAGACTCGCCGTGTTGAGAACACAGTTTTGGTGCTTCTCAATGACGTGGGCATAACGGAACAGCACAATCACCATAACTACAGGAAGAGACAGAAAGACACATGTGTCGAGTAGATAAATAACACATTAAAACAACCACACCAGCAGAACTATTAAATGCTGTCAGAAAGGGAAAAAAGTTGACAAGTACAATAAGTTGAATTTCTCTGCCTAACAAGTAGTTACAGGAATATGAGAGGCAGGAAATGGCGGGAAAGTGGGAACGATACATGAGTGGGGGTTGGTGTGTTCTTGCATAAAGATAAAAAGGCGCAGGGAAACTAAGTACAGTATATGGGACAGATGACTGCTGATGTGCTAATGGGCTGTGACTGGGGGTATTGTTGGTGCACCGAGGAGCTGACCCCCTGCTTGGTTTCTCTTTGTTAGCTCCTCTCGGCTGGTGCTTGACGAAGGCTGACTGGGCTTGGTGAAAGCGGGGCATAAGGGGTGAGCGGAAAAGAGGAGGGTGAGAGAATTAGAGAGGACAATGAGCCACTCGTGTCTTGACCTGAAGCCCATAGTGTCTCTGAGGCCGAGCTGTTGTTTTAACTCTGTCACCGTCTCTGTGTCAGTGACATGCTTTAAGATGGTCTACGCTGCCAAAAGAGAACATAAATGGAAACCGTGGTCACAGAGAGGAAAGAAAACATCAGTGCAGGACTTAACAATGTAAAGCTTTGTCTCCACGAGTCAGGGTTTGGATATGCTGTGGCCTGTCTTGCTCTAAGCCAGCGTCTCAATGACGAGACACATAACTCGTAACGTGGCCACAAGCGTGTATTCATCAATCTTTCCCCCTCAAATCATCAACATTTTTGATGATTTGAGGGCAGCTGCCGCTGCAGCGGCCAATTATCTTGTGTTAGGTATTTTGTTGTGGCAGGTTATTTTTGACCAACATGTGGGTAAATTATAGGCAGAAATGTAATTCTGGGAGAGAATTTCAACCAGAACAAATCATCACAACACCACTGTTGGGAACACCAACATTAGACTGCACCAGTTTTAAGTTTTTTTTAAAATTCATACTAAAATCATTTCACTCTTTTTCTATTTTACTGTTGAATGTTATTTTAATGTCGAAATATAGAATTAATTGTGATCCGAGTATATTTTGCTCAAGCAAACAGTAAAAATGTGCTTTTGTTTTCCACAAAATAGCATGTAAATAAATCACCTAAATGTTGCAATTAAACACAACCCTAAATTAAACATGTAGTGTGATTTATCATAAAAATATACATTAGTTATTTGTTTATTTGTTTATTTAACAGGAACACATTGTTACATACAGAGATGTAACTATACAGGGTGTCTAGCTGAAGCTAATGTCTTAATATAATGTTTGTTCAGATCCTCAAGACCCAACATGTGAGTGTATGTTCTTGATTGTCTGAGCTGCCCTCTGTTCCCACACTTCATCTTGGCAAAGTGATTTCAGTTACAATCATGGAAAAACAAACAGCAGTGTCTCCAGGCTCGGAAACAATCTTGTCTTTGTTTTTTCCAACTCCTTTTTTTGTATAAATGGAGGACATACTGTGTTGCTGAAAGGACAAGAAAGTTTAGTTCATTAGATTATGGAATCTCAGTCTCTCTTCTGCAGACTGGCTGGCTGGGGAATTTTCCTATTTCAGCGAAACAGCTTTTTCATCATTACAAATGAGCATGTTTGAACTTGCTGGCATTTAGCTTAACCTTAGCTTACATCATAAAATTATGTAAGCTAAGGTTAAGGAAAAATCTTCTCATAACTCTCTATGAGCAAATCCATGTTTCACTTTTCTTTTTTGCTTTCTAAAGGCACATTTGTGTGGGCTGTTTTCTGGTATATTTCTTTGAGGATCCATGTCAAGCTGAGGGGTCACAGGTTCAGCCAGCATAATCGTTACATGTATGATGAGTAAACAGCATTGCTGACCTCCACCTTGCCTTAGACGGTCAGTACAAGCTGTTGTCTGACATCTCCACAATAGATATAAATTTATATAAACAAGCTATGGCAGTGTCCCAAACACTGTCCCAATTTTAGTCACCTTCCACACAGCTGCCCTCTCCGAATCTCACTTTTCCTCTGAATTTAGGAAGAGGAGTCTTGGCTCAAACACTGACTCACAGACTGGTTCATATACCCCAATGTCACTCTATCATAGAAGTTGTAATACTGTAATGTTACATACAACCCTGCTGTCACAAGCACGGACTGGCTTTTGCATTCACACATAGACATGGAGGAACACACATATATACACACCCAAGTGCGTATTCCCACAAAAGTCACTTCAGCCACACCGCACCACACAGTTAAATAAACCCTGCTGTCCCCACAAGGAGATCTGTTTCAACCCAAACACCCGGCTGCATTTGCTCCCACAGGAGGTATGCTGTGAAAGAATACAAGCATTGTCTTTGAAACATTGTGTGTGTACACTGGCAGAGAGGTGGGATAAAAGCGAGAAGAATAATTATGAGGCAATATACAGTTCAGTGAGTGCATGTTATCCCAGATAGGAGTGGACCCCTGAGCCAACTGTAGCAGGCACAATCTACAAAGTGAGACATACATCAATAGGCTAAGAAGCTAAGTACTTATTATTTACATTATTGTACAGCTGCACGTCGCATTAGCTTAACCTGCTTTTGTAGAGACATAATAACTTGCTTTACAACAGGTATTAACATATGCTATGTTCAGACTAATTGGATAGTGAAAAAAAACTAAACACAAACAAGGCAGCTGTAAATGCAACCAATCTGACCTGAAAATTGAAGCATGCAAACCACATGAGAGGGTGGTCACAGATCTATTAGACCAGGTATAAATACAGCTTGACTCAGATCTCAATATAGTGTAGTTATTTCAATCTCCTTCTGCCACAAAAACTTCAACAAAACATGTATGTAATAATATACTTAGCAGGCAGATTGAACTAAGAAATGTGGCTCAAACAAGAAGCAGGCAAGTGTGATGTTACACATTATAAAACAGATGAATGTGGAACAATTATGTTTAAGGGTATCTAAAAGGATATCTCGCAATCTACCTGTTTTGCAAAGGAAGTACAGATCAGCAGTTATTGTGCAAGTTCACGAGCCAGCCCAAAGTTCAGTTCACACACATTAAAATGAAACAGTTCATTTCGTACATTTCTTCCATTTTTATCAAAGGAACTTTGTGGCTGTCGGCTCGATATCTTAGCCTTTGATCATCATTCACTCTCAGATATTTCCCAAGACAGGTCAGATGCTTCCACTCCATGTGTTGTTGTTTCTAATTTGTTGTCCGGCATGTCGGGTGCCATAAAACACAGTGCGTGAGTGTCGTTAACTCCAGCTATAGATTGTCTGATATTAGCTTATTGCATATGTATCGGTGGAATCCTGAATTGCTCTTCCATCAGTGTGTGAATGTTGCTGATTATTTTTTATGATATTATTTATTAATTAATTGCTTGGCATTTAAAATACCACACAACTGTGAAAATGTGATTCACATTGCAAGTACTCATGTTAAAATTCCTTGTTTGGTCAGATCAACAGTTTAAAACCCCAAAATTTTCAGTTTACTATCATGGAAAATAGAGGAAAGCAGCTATTTTTGTTCAAAAAATGACTAAACAGCAAAACAAACAACAAACAACAAACAACTCAATTACTAAAATTGTTGAAGATTATTTTTTAGTTATGTGTTTATGCTTAAAAAAATACTATATGATTAAATAAGTTCCCAAATTTTAACATCAGTAACAACCTCTTTAATCTGGTATATGTTATTTCTAGAAATGATCCGAACATAAGATGCACCTTGAGTCTCCAGTAAAGCCATGGCACCACAAACTAACCGTAAAATTTTGTAAGCTGCGTTGATATAAACTGTTTTGTGGGTCTTTATGACACTATTGTCAAGGTGGCTCTGTCCAAAGGAAGATGTAAGAATCAAACTAATTTAGTTAGCTTAAAAGTGCGTTTACCATTAGCTACAGGTAGCTATAGGAAGGGGTCTGTAGGTTAACTGGAAAGTTACAACAGAATTACATCTAAGCTGTCTTGAGCCAGTGATGAACTGTCATCATCATCATCAGTGGAGACAGGAAATCTGCAATTTTGTGTTGCTTAAAACCCTGAGATGCCACATAGTTTGGTTGCCACATTACTACTTCTGAACTGATTTGTCTGCATATTTGTATAGTTAGCAGTGAAATTACGGTGCAGTGCTAAGCCTACCTCTCCTTCTCTTATACCAATACATACATGTACACAGCGCTAGCCAAATGTTGGACTTTCACTGCTGCCTGAGCAGACTTCACACTGAACTGTAACAGTCTGGTCCCTACCAGGATCTCTCAAGCACATGTGTATACACGCTAAAATACACACATATACAAACAGAAAAGCAAAGACTAGAGTGGTAATTTGGATCTCAACAACACACAGCATATAGCTTATAATGTTATTTTTTGAATCTACAAGGATCACTGTCTTATCGTGGATTTGTCTCTGCCTCCCTCTCAGATGTATCAAGCAGCGGTCCAGAATCGGCCAATCAGACAGACGGGCAGGCCTTAAATAGCTGCTAGAGGCAGAAGACAAACAAGGCAAAGGAACCTCTGCCCCGCTTTATATAAGTGCACACACACACACACACACACACACACACACACACACACACACACACACACACACAGAACATGTCTAAGCCACAGCTGGGAAACATTAACTCGATCAGGGTAGTCAGACCCACCAGTTAACGCAGGGAACAGCACGTGTAGACTCACAAAAAAAACATACAGACCAGCACATGGGAGCTCGATTCCCTCCTTTTATATCATGCATGTTTTCCTTTTGCCTACTAAAGTACACACTCACTGTGTATATGTGTACTTGTGCATTTGACATTCTGTATGAAATCTTTCTGAAGCAAAATTTTGCTGTTATTTCCACATATCTGCCCTTTTATTCAAAATTACCACATGTAAGGTTTTCACTGACTCTTGGTCACTGAGGTTGTAGGTTTTACACACGACCAGAATTTTTCTAAGGGCAACAAAACTAATGTTACCCTGAAGCCTTAACATAAGCGAAAGAACTGATCAAAACAACTATATCTGGACCTACTACAAAGGAAGCTCCTGCTGATGTAGTTTTGAGGAACTAATTGTGCTATAATCAGTATCTTATGGAAGAAATTAAAAGTGACGCCTCCTTTTTTTATTCATCAGTCCAGTGTTTATGTATTAACATATTTCTTTTATCTTTTATCTTTTATTTTGTATATTATTAAGAACTGGAACTATCAGTCGATGGACAGAACATTTATTTAACCAGAACAGGTTATTTTGACAAATGTAGTCATTTTTAATTAAATATATTTGCTGGTTCCAGGTTTGAAGATTAAATTATAGTAACCTGAAGATCTTTGGTTTTGGACCTCAAAAAACAAGCATTTGAAGATGTCACTTCTGGATGTGGCGTCTGGAAAAATTTTATAATCAAAACCATCAATTGAGAAGATAATAAAAGGGTGACTTACAGCAGAAATCAAAGCTGATATCAATAATTGTAACATTGTGTGTGTGTGTGTGTGTGTGTGTGTGCTGATCATGTGTACACATGATGCCTTACCCATGAATGAGCCTGTGCTGCAGATAAGGCTGAAGAAGCAGCTCTCAGGGGGAAGAGTCCCACATTTACTATAAGAAATAGCACACAGAAGTAAGTCAGAGAAATACTGTACAATACAATGCACAGAACAGTACATTGTGGAAATATGGCATGTTTTTTTTTGAGATACATTTCTGCTTATGTCCTTAGGTAGTAGCCAGGGGGGGGGGGGGGGGGGTGACCACCATGCTTCCTAACATCCCATCATCAAGCATTTGCCTTTCCACCTACTGCATACTGCCTCTCCTCTAGGAATGGGGAGCCTTTATAGGAGGGGAAGGGAGGAGACTGTCAACATAGGCTGCCTGTGCCTGAGCTCCAGCAGCCTACAAAGCCAAAGCCTTCTCAGCTGATTGCAGTCACACACACACAGCACATAGATGAAAATGTACAATTCAGCAGACTAATACTGACGTATTTAGTAGTTTGATGGACGGTTATGTAGTCAGATTTTAGTCATCTAAAATTTTTTGATTTCAATCAATTACTCACTAACAACAACAGCATATGATATAGCCAAATACATAGTAATGCTGTAGTAAAAGCTGAAAAATGTGCACCTCTTCCACCTTCACCACTAAACTGTGCTTTGTGCAACACTTAAGCAACATCAGCAGCACTGCAATAATAAAAACAATCCCTTGTAGCATTTAGACATCTCTCATTTTCTCTGTTTATATGTAATTGCATAATAGATTGAGATTACTGGGCACATTATTATGATCATTACATGTCATCTGCGTTAAGATACAAAGACAAGCAGTTTATTTGCATTTATTAAAACCATTTTCTCCAGATTTCTTGATACAAACTGCAGTATTAACATTCTACAACTGGCCTTTGATGTTGAATGCTCAGTGGGATAAAAAGCCAAACAAAAGAGTGGGAGTGTCTTGATTTCCTCCCAAATGTAAGCCGACTCCTCTGTGTGTGTTTACATGGTAAAGTGCAGACCCATTTGCCTCTGAAATGCCACGGTGGCAGGCAGGATATTTCAGCCCTAAGTTATTTTCAGAATGCACTCACACACACACACACACACACACACATTCACACACCCACACAGTCACATACTCACAGGAGACAGGAGAACCATCTCCTTCAAGCTCACTCGCTTTTTTATCAACAAAGTGCCGACAGGGGTCATGTAAAACAATGGGACAATGTTCCTGATTTTAATCTCCAGACAGAAACTAGAAACAAAGAGGCAGAAAAGAGACAGGGGGACAGGCAGGTAGGTTTGGGGTCAGGCTCAGCGTCTCACTGACCTGATGAGAGGTACATTGTCTAGCGTGCAGCACAAGGTTGGCCCGCTCTGCAAATACAGCTCTTCTTCACATGACTGGTTGTACAACCTGGAACATCAAACACATCGCAAAGCTCAATGTTAAAATATAAACATATGGAGCAAAATCTGTTCAAATTCAGTCCTACTGGGAAATCACCAACAAAAACAAAGCGCAGACATATTTCTGATGGCTATTATCATATACTGTAGATATACAGATTTTGTTTTGGTTTTAGGGTGTGTGAGTCAAAGTAGACTCATCAAATAGCAGCTCTGCTAGTAGAGATCAACCTCAGTTTGTCTGAAACAAACCAGGGCCAGAAGAAAAGTCATTCACTCACTGACAGTGTTTGTTTATAGTGAACAAAAATCACAGTTTAGATCTATTTTAATTTACTGCAGTTTATTCTTTTGGCTAATGTGAACAGATTTAGGAGTGTCTCTCAAACATTTCTGAGGTGACTAACTAGGAAATAATCCCAATACTTAATGTACCAACAGAGCAAATTGCATTCTGTAAACAAAATGAGAAATCACCAGATTGCAAGGTGTGATTTTGTAAAGTGAGTAGGGATCAAAAGAGGTATGCTGAAGCAAAATGCAGGATAGATTAAGCAACATACCAGTTATCCACAGGGCAGACATGTTGGTTGTACAGGGCCATGGCGTAACTGAAAGAGAGACAGTCTGATTAGCCAAAACAAAAGGCAACACTTTTGGTATATTGTGAGCTTATTTCATGATTACGCTGTCATCTTACGTGACTCAACGAGTAATAATTCAGCATTAGGGCTGACCTTTAAATTCAAGTAAGAAACAGTGAAGAATGCATAGCCAATGCAGTATCCTAATTTTACTGTGACAGACAGAGGTAGCGAGGGGCGTAATATCAGTGTGGGTATACTTATTGAATAGAAGAATGTAAAACAATTATAATTTGTTTAATTAGCAAAACCCCTACCAACTTTACATTATTTTACATTTGTAGAAGTCAACGCCTTTATGTACAGCGTATTGAATTGACCACCTAGACTTGAACTATACCAGCATTGCTCTGGCTATAAATTAAAGCTGTCATTGGCTTTCAGTGTTACTTCACATCTCTAATATATAATAAGGATGAACAATTAAGCTATTGTATGATTATGAACGTTAAACATTTAAAAAAAAAAAATCTTTTTATTAACCAATTAATTTTCACCTAGTAGACTATTTTCAGAAACTATTACTGCAACCAACTACTAAATATAGAGCATGCACTGAAAGGGCAGATTTGTTTCTACCAGTGAGTGAGTTGCATTGGGCTGATAAAGTACAAGTGGATGGCTCATTCATAGATATTGTCTTGGGGCTTACGTGTAAGGTCATTGATTATTTCCCCACCAGCAATTGCGTCTGCTCTGTCCAGCAGATGTAAATAAGACAAATGTAAAGTAAAAGTCATCAGAATCAGATGTTAACACGTGCCAAATGGTGCTACTGAACTGTAACAACTCTAATCCAATAATTTTCAGCCCTCTATCTGTGTGGACATCTGAAGGCGGCAAAGGGAAGCTCCAGAAGGAAAAGCAATTGTCACGTTATCCCCTTGTTATTCACACACACAGGCAGGCAGTGAACACCGATCAAAACAATATTTTTTACTACCAGAAAAAGATAACTAGAGACACAGAGACTATTTGTCCTGATTTGTAAAAGCAGCCGTAGTTCAGTAAGAGGTTAAGTGCCAATTAAGAATGTTTCCAGGGGCCGATAGTATCCAACTCACAAACCAGTCTTTGAAAGATGGAGACACAATCACAAAGATACACACCTGGCTACCCAGAAGACAACAATAAACAGAGACACATGTCAAAGCCATAGACTGTATATAAAAAGGTCAAAGCACACATACACATACAATACCGATTGGAAGCAAGACAAAGATTCTGGTGCCAAATAATTAGTTACAGTATCTGTGACCAAAGTTTCGGGATTTAAAGCTCAACATCCTAACTGGTGTGCAAGATGCCACGCTTCAAAACGACATACAGTGCGATTCAGTATATGCAGTATACAGTATAAATCATTTATGTAGTTATTTTATTGTTGTGGGTAAATAATTACAGGAAAAATCACGATCAATATTTCCTACAGCATATGGTTATAACAGTCCTGTAATAATTCAGTAGTCAATAAAGAAGCAACTATGAATTCATCCAATAGCTATTATAAATATGTGTTTCATACCAAAGCTGCACAGTTTCAGACACATATTCACACCTGGTTGAAAGCAGACTCAAAAAGTCGGGTCAGACACTCACCCACTCAGGTCAAATGAAAACACGTTTTTTCTTCTACACTGAATCACTTTCATCCATTTAATATAGTAGAGATCCTTGCCATCATTCAAAGCTTATGTTTAGTATTCAATGTTGTGGTATCACACAATTTCATGTGTTTGCATTCTATTGTACACTATGAGAGATCAACCCAAGGTTCTACACACAAATTGAACAACAATCATTACTATGACAGAAAATCTTTCCACTTAATTCCTATCCATGCGCATAACGCAGTGAGGAAACCTAGTGGTGTGAGTGGAATATGGCCATCACGTATAAGGCTGCCAGAGCTCTAGCTCTGAGCCTTTTCACAGCACAATGAACCAAACAACTTGATGAAAAACAAAAGAAGCTGGCAACAAATGTAGTGGACTACCAAGAGACTTCATTAGAAAAAATGCAGTACACTGGAGCCATCTGAAGTTGGTGCATTTTCCATAACTTTTGACACGCATTTTTTACATTTGGTCAACTTCCAAGACTAAAATAGCATCAGTGCAGCTCTGGGACATTTCTAAATGAAGTGGTGTTTTTTTAGCTGTATGTGGAACTAAACTAGTGCATTCTGTGCCCAGAGAGGGATATGTAATAATAGGTTTGTTAGGTTTACATAATTAGACCTCTATCAAAGCTGCAGCATTGGTTGTAAACTGTAATTGCATGCTTGTGAGCAATATATAGGTATATACTGTTTTTTTAAATTTAGGATTCAACAAGCAACATTAAGGAAAGACTTTAGTGCTATGGAAAGTGAAAGTTCCCCAAAGCAGTGCAATAATAACACATCAGAAACGACAGGGAAGGGTGTGATGAATCAACTTTAAATTAATTTTATAGGCTGGACTCCATTTGCTTCTCTGGCTGGTTACTGTAACGCCTAAAACATAACAGTAATTTCAAACCGATGGCAAAATATGTACAAGTACAGTAGTGCTTACAGGTATAGTGGGGCCATAATGCAGTTTCAAACACATTTCTTAACTCATTCATAAAAGGTCAGCAGAAGAATCTAAGCCAAGACTCTTGGGTGGGCACAATCCTGAGCTTTCCTCTGGCTCCACAGACCTTTCCTACACTGGGCTTGGCCACCTGATGCTGAGTGAAAGTTCTGCTTATGCTGTCCAGTGCTCCCTTTCAGTATTTACTTTACTCACGCCCAGTCACCCACAGTGAAAAAGTGAGTTATGTAACATGTTACATCCTTTGACATTCCACTAGTTGGAAAAAAAGACCCTTGACTGCTCATATAAACAAGGCGCCCTTGTCAAGGTAACAGGAAGGAAAGTGGTCTAAAGATTTGGCATCTTAACTCAGACCAACTTTCTACCTTAGAAACACGTTAAAACAATAAGGAAATTTGCAATGCTAGCGCAAATTTTCAGCTGCTGTTCTCCATCTCAGTTTCGATCAGTAGCAACAGTAAGGGCTCAACCTTCTTTTCTGCAAAGCCCTGCACACCGGAGCCCAAACACCTGATTGGACTGTGAAGCAGCCATGTCCACAAACACTAATTGGTGTGCAAGGTCTCAGCTTTGGCATCTGATTTGACTGCGTACTCCCCGCACTGTTAATAACAGATGTAGCGTACAGCCTGGATACAGAACTGCGACAATTTGGAATTGGGCCATCTGTCTCTCTCCCCTTGGGGATTGCGTTCCTCCTCCCAAAGTAATAACAGAGCAGTGAGGAGAGCTTTCAGCAAAAAAACAACCAGGAGGTGCTCACTTTTTCTCTCTGGTGCATCTGCTCAGACACTGTAGTGGAGATTATTAAACTATACTGCGATACTGATAATCCCAGATCCTTCCTGGAGAGAGTTAAACCTCATGAAATTGCCATGGCTCCCAGGAATTCAGAGTAAATATGCACTGTTGCTCTCCTGGAGGGAATGGAGGCTGAGGTATCAAATGGTTTATGTTTAAACATAAACAACAAAATTGTTATTTGTTAGAATATAGCCAAGGAATCACTACGTGTATCAAAATATAATTTTCATTATAATGATATATCTGTTTTTACCCATGGTGTCACCATGGTGTCATGGTGATGTACACTGTGATATTTAAAGCTTGGGTAAGAGTTAAAAAACAATACCACCCACTCCTCTTCAGCCTCCCTCCAAAACCACTGACCCAAAACATATTTTCATGTGCAGTGAGTGCACAAGCAGGTAGTTGGGTAGACAGGCAGGAAATAAATTGCCTATCCCTACTTTAATAAGAAATAATATGCGATAAGAAATAATAAGTAGATATAGATTCAAAAATCCAGATGCTATTTTTTCATTGTATTCAAAACAATGCCTTGCAGACAGAACAAGAAGCAGTGTAAATTACCAAATTGTATGCATAAATTACATTTTCTGTAGAAAATAATGTTTCTTTCTGTTTTGACAAAAGCTTTCTGTATTGGCAGGACAAATTTAACACTTACACAACCCATATCCCAGTGATGGTCAGAACTGGGAGGCTAACAGGCAGTATCATCCAGACAGACATCTTCCAGCACCTCGAACAGCCCCTTTCTTCTTTTTCCTCTTCGGCCAGCCGAGCGATATCTGCTCAAGTAGTACTAACATTTAACTGAGTGTGACTGACATCTGCACTGCCACCAACTGATTCATTTTCTTGAAGATGGAGGATGGTAGATGCTGACAGGACAGATGTGTCCTTTTAGCTGGTGAATGAGAGGAGAGGGGAAGAGGGTTAGGTCAGGATCACTCACCTATTAGAATTAGGAAGTATTCATTATGATCTTCATCAAGCCATGCCAGTCTGGTTAAGACTCGGGTTATGTGAAGCTCACAGCAATTTAATGCACAAAGACGAGTATTTACAAGAGGATACATTACAAACAACACCTGTAATGCAACCCAAAACAATATCACTACAAAACTGCCGGGAAGCTCTGATCTTCTGTTCTTCAAGGATCACTTGCTTTAAGATTTTGGAGTCCTGTTGTACTGGACTGTTGAACTTGTAGTGGATTTTGTTTTAACTAAGAATAAAAACGCTGTTTTGGCAACCTTACCTTGTTTATTTAAAGGGGACGCTGGCTTGCCTTGACAATACGTTACATATCACAGGTAATATACGTTTACTCTCATTTTGTTCTATCACTTCTCGTGCCACACACTAACTGCAGCTCACCTTCACGTTTCTAGCTAGCAACAGCGACGAGCATCCAACGCAAATCTGTGCTTGACGTTAACGTTACTCACCTTCTGCCTCTGTCTGCTAGCGAGTTTTTACTGTTTCTTCGGTAACTTTGAGTACGCCGACCTGTTCTCCACACCTCTGGTACGATTCCACACTGGACCCGGGGAATACGGTGTTTCCCTATTTTCTTAATATCAATTCCTAGATTTACTTTCCCAACAAATTGCGGTCCCTCTAGCTCGTTTATCGCCTTCAACAGGAGGAGTAGCGGAAAGCTCGCGCTCAGGCAGACTCGCTGCATCGCCGCCACGAGACACTCCAGAGTATCCAGCTGTTTGACTCCGCCCCCCTGAACCTGTAGTAGCGTGCTTTGCATTCAGGTTTGGGCACCGAGTGCAGTATGTCTTCTATGCAGCTCAAGAAAAACTATATTGGGATTACCAAAATAGCATTTAACAGTTGACATCTTGAATGTGTCCAAGTTTCAGATGTAGTTTAGTGTGAGACGCTGATAGGAAGTAAACTCGGAACCTAGGTGTTCCTTTCTTCCGAAGTCTTTTAGGTAAAAGCACGATACTAATTTCTTCATTTTGGCTTACCTGAAGCAACTCAGCTCGACTTCATACAAAACAAAAAAGCAGTCTGCTTCTTTCTATGTGTGTTTCCTCTCCCAGTTTTCCTCTCTTACAGTAAAGTAAGACTGCCCGGCTACTAAAGAAGTTCATTTTGGAACAAAGAATAACAAATTCTCTCTGTGTATGTGTGTGTGTATGTGTGTATCCTGTTTGTGTGATGTAGATTTAAAGCATGTCCGTTCAGCAAAACGTGTTTCTGATGCCCCCTGGAGCTTTAACTTGTTAATGTCTCTCTACCCCTGTAGCCAAGAATACCCTCAATATGATTTGATTTTATGTTCTGTTGGTATCCTATTGCTTTTCAGGCTTTGAACATTTTCTACATTTATAACTTCAAGCAAACAAAACATTTTGATGCCTGTTTGGAAAATGCAAGTTTTTCTTTCTTGGTTTTCACTACTGTTGGGCCCAGGTGGTGGAAGGGTATTTCCAGATGTTCTGTATTAATGGAGCCAAGATAAACAACACCAACTCCAGTAATGTTGAGCCACTCTGCACATAATGTGGTTTATTTTTAACAGGATCTGTGAAAGCTGTCTTGTGCAAATCCATTTTTTATGTGCCAGATAAATCAGTGATTCTTTGGGGGTTTTAGAAACAGTGATTTTATTTCACAGATAGCATTTATAACAAACCAGTAACCTATGTGACATGCTTTAACAATAACAGAAAAAAAGATGTGAGACATCGAGAAAATAACATGATTATCAAGTATTGCATATTTATCCTACTTAAAACTGACACATTTTGTTATCATCTCTTCAGATAGAGTGCCCTAAAACAACAATCAGTGACCAAAATAACAAAAACAGCTCAATTGAATTGTTTAAAACACACATACAATCATACATTAGGGAAAAAAACCTTTAGCAAATGGTAAAGAAAAACGAGCAATTCAAATTTTACATCTTTATTGAAAATATTGAGTAACTTTGATGCAAATTACTAACATTATTCTTCTAAAGTCTTATACTAGTACCAAAGCCCCACACACTGAACGCAGGGTAGAGGGGCTCTGTGAATGTTGTCTGGACTCTGTGCAGAAGCTTCATGCCATCCAAGACACTGTAAAATGCAAGTGTTCCTGCAGCATGATCCACGTAGACGCCAATACGTGATGAGATTGGAGCTGCAATATCTTTGCTCTTATTATTGTGCACAAAGGAGAATTTGGAATCAGAGCAGTACAGACTCCACGACTTGTCGTTCCAGCCCAGGCTGCATTCATTGCCATTTCCTTTACGACGGATTCCCCTGTAGGTAACAGCCACGTCCACCTCTGTTCCCCTCCAGTCCACCTCCCAGTAACAACGAGCCCCAGTCACGCTCTCTCTGCACAACACCTGGATGAATGAGAGATCAAAAGACAAAGAGTTCATTTATGCATGGTTAATAACAGCTGTTGAGATGAGAGTTTACATAACTTAGAAATCTTAGTGTGACTGCACAGTGGAAAACTAAAGACTAAGATTTGGGTAGCAATTTTTAATCAATACCAATTGACAACTAAATAAGTCTTAAACACTTATGCCACTTCACGGGGGCGATTCAAAGAGCATGTTGCCTGACAGTAAAGGCTCCTTTTAGTCTTAAGTCTGTACTCAGGTTTCGTTATGACCGCCTTCTTGATAACATTGTCATATAACATGACCTGTTGGCACACTTATACCAATAGGTTAACTTCCCTCCTCCTCTTTGATGATACCCTGGTGAGCAGTAAATTCTCACCTGCTGCCAGTGGTCAAATCGGTCTGGGTGATCAGGGTAGTTCTTAGGCTCACTCTTCATCGTAGCTGTTCGGTTACCCTCAGAGAGGTGAAGGTTTGGGTGGACAGTGTTGACATCCAGAATCAACTGGCAGGAGTCTACACAATGCAGAACAGTATAATTAAGGTGTTTTTGCAGTCTTTGTCTTCCAATTGAATGTTATCAAATGTTTTGGTATTTGTCTCTTTTGAGATTATGAGCCTGTGACACGAATATGTTCAGGAATGACAAAGTTATCCCACTAAAACCTTTTACTGCATCGCTTTGTTAAAACAGTTTCCACAGGTGGAGTATAAGCAGGAGCACCTGTGTTTGTTTAAGTTATACTGAACTGTAAGTTTGCTTTCTTAAATTTCACCAAACCTGTTCTGCGAGCAGCATGCCTTTCGTAACACCTCCCTTTACTGTCCCTTTGTTAGAGATTCCTACTATTTGACATAATGACTATCGTTTTGAACCTTTTGGTACAGCATACACTTCACTAGTCGGAGTATGAGTGGGGTTTGATATAATTGCCAAGTAGCCTTGCCAAATTAGTGTTTCAAAACAGGTTAAGACAGGCTTCTCTGTAAAAAGCTCACACTTCATGAAATCTTCTCTTGTCTTCGGTTCTTCCCATGTCTTTGATTCTTCCCATGTCTTTGATTCTTTTCTTGTCTTTGGTGCTTCCCTCAAAATTGACTCTCTCCTCGTCTTTGTCTCACCTTCTTGCGTGACGTAGACTTCCTTCACTATGAAGAGACAGTTAAGAAAACACATGGCCGCATAAGCTTTGTCAAAGCGACAGCAACCTAAAACACCGCTCCTGATGGGAACCCCTCTACAGAGAGACATCAACGCCATGTGAGAGTTAGAAAGACAAATTTGTTCACCTGCTCCTATGATTTTGCTCATTTCTGTTTTGCTAACTTCCTCTACTTGTAATTTCAGTGAAGCAATGGCTCTCTTGGTGGCATCAAAGGAGTAATTGGGAGCAACGCTGATGTTGTTGAGGTCTTCATATCCTGAGGGGCCTGACAGGGACTGCCAGCTCTGGTATAAAATAAGAAGATAAAGATAAGAGAGGAGACGTATCTAGTACATAGCCCAAACATTGCATAATACTACTGTTTTCTCTTTTTTGCACCACACAAGGTCTTGGTGGGGGTCCTCAGTACAGATCAAGCTCACCTGTAGAAAGTGTATGTGATCATCAGTATGTGAGAGCTTCTCCAGGTCAGTGTGTCTCTTCCTCAGCAGAGTGATCTCTTCCTCCAAGCGGTTGAGCAGTATCTCTGCCCGTGTCACGGTGGTCTTTTCGTGGGAACGGATCATCTCCTTGACTTCATTGTGTTTCCTCTCTATGGAAAGCAGAAGCTCAGTGAAGATGCGTTCGTTCTCCTCTAGTACCGTCAGAGCTGAGTGCTGATGAGATACATTAGAAATAGAGGGAGAGAGTTTGTTCAAATATGTAACACACTGTGAAAACATTCCAGTAAAAGTAAAAAGTCCTGCATTCAAAACTTAAGTAAAAGTAAAAGTATGTAAGTATTTTTAGCAAAATGTATGTAAAGCATCAAAGTAACAGTACTCATTCTGCAGAAAAATGGTCCCTGGCAGTGTCTTACTGTTATATCGTGTTTTTGGATTAATAATACTGCTATATTAATGTAATTGTAATGTTGCTGTTCTGTGAGACCCACGTGTCTTTAAAAAACATCCACTTTTCATGAGCTCAGAAGGACCGCCCCGTTTTCAACTTACTATACTGGAGTATAAAGTTGCATACAATTGAAATACTCAAGTAAAAATTCCATGTGCTTGTACTTAAGTACAATCCTTGAGTAACTGTAGGCTACTTAGTTACATTTTGTCACTGTATGTTGATAGAAGTACGACTTGAGTGAGATGATTTTTACATACTTTAACTGATTCAACAGCTTGTCGGAGATCCTGCCATTTTTTTACCCTCTGGTCAATCCTCTGTTGAGACTTGTGCAGCGTGGTACCAAGTTGTTTCTGTAGAGGGAATCACATTAAAGTTGCCATCATCAGTGGATGATGCCACAGCAGAGGCCTTGTACAACAAATAACATAAATAAAGTATAGACTGACAGATATTCACCACTCACTTGTTTCTCGGTCCTCTCAGTTCCAGCCGGGACGATGTCGTGGTGTTTGTGTTCGTCCATCATGCACAGAACACACACTGATGTCTCATCCGTGCGACAAAAAGCTTCCAGCAGCTTGTCATGCTGTGCACAGATCTTCTCTCTCATCTGACCTGTTGCTTTGACCAGTTTGTGCTTCATCATGGCGGGGTACTCATAGTGAGACAGGATGTGGGTCTCGCAGTAGGATGCCAGGCACACCAAGCACGACTTCTCTGCCTTCTGCTTACTTGTTGTGCAGAAGTCACACAGGACATCCCCATACTTGGCCTGGGCCCTGGGCCCCCTGGACTGGCTACGACTGGTAGAGCGACGAGATCTCTCTGTGCTGTTGTATCTGTCTAAATCCAGAGAGTTAGGCTGGGACATTTTTACCAGGAGCTAAATAATAAGAGGTCCAGCAAAATTAAAACCCAGAGGTGATTTAGCTCAGCAACGAAGCGTTAACCTGTCACTAAAATGGGTTGAGATCAACAGCTAAAGAAAAGCCTCAACAAAAAGTGAGCAGGACGATGTATCCACAGAGAAAATGAGTTCCTGAAACAGCTCCAGTGAAACTGGGTGACTGACGGTGTGTGGGACAGAATGTTAGCTATGTGGTTTACTCTCAATGTAAAACCAGTATTCCTGGTTGGGTGTTTAATAGTGAGGAAATGGGTGTTACTACAAATATGCTGCCTGAAACAAAGAAGGTTGAGACAAAGGAGAGGAGAGGAAAAGTTGAAAGAACCTGAATTAAAAATGAGTGTTTATTAATTCAATATAAAACCCTTTTTTATCTGTAAAATGAAAATGAAAATTTATATAGATTTAGATTTCGACTTTGAGGATAGAGATAGCAATATCTGAGTGTTTATATGTTTCCAAGTGTTCAAAGTACGAGACTCACCTAAAACTGTGGCCTTCAAAAAGCATTAGCCTTGGGAATTTCTCACATTGATTTGATCTACAATGTTAAGGAATGGCCTTCAATTTGTTTTGTTTGTTTCAAGATCACATTTGTGTTATGTCTACCTTTGGACTCATTCCCATGATATGTACAATACATGCTGCCCAAACAATCAGGGCATTCATCAAACTGACAATAGTAAAACAGCATCATCTTGTGGGACTAATCCCTTACTACTACATACCCTCAAACATCCAGCATACTGTATATAAAAGGACTGTGTCTAGAACCTCATCCTTATTACTGCTAATTGTGTCTAGTTGATAATCCTCATCAAAGCTCTTTGTAAAACCTACAAAGAATAATATTGCTGTTATATTTCAAGATCCATAAGCTTTGACAATTATCACATTCTACATTGCCTTAAAATCAACTCAACCTAACTGAGAAAAGAGTTATTCTCCACCAACACAATCAAAATGAGGGAATATCTTTTGAAGACTTAGAGAATCTTTGACCAGCAGTGATGGAGCCATAGGTGTCATTGGGGACATGTTCCCACCATTCTTTTAAACAGCTGATTTTGTTCCCACCACTTTTTGGAAGCATTTGTTAGACATGTACGCTTAGCTTGCAACAAGAAATTTTAAATAACAAATGAAAGTGCAAAAGTTTTATTTGCACAATGACAAAACATAGAATGCAATGTTAATATGGAAAAAGTAACTTTAGCCAGTAAAACACAAGCTACTAATTACTGCAATATATTGCATTCTATTTTGAATTGTCATCTGCCACCTGAATTTTGTATTTCCCTTTAAATAAAGATATTGCACCATAAATTGGTGCAGAAAAATTATCCAGAATGCAGGAAATTAGTGTTTAAGTGCTGAATATTTTCAGGGGGGTGACCCCCAGAACCCCCACTCATCTATTTCAGCACTTAATATTTCTTCAGAATAGTGTTAAAATATCTTCTCGTCTCTTTCTTGTGAACCCAATATTGTATCTCGTCATGACTCGTGAGGTAAGTGGATCTTCACTCACACACCTACTCTGAGCCCTTCCGCCCCCACCACATTTAAACACAAAGTGACGCCCTTAGTTGGAGCTGCTCTGGCGGCTCATGGTGGCTTACGACAATAGGGGAGACCTGGTTTGGCTGCAACACTTTTTGCTTCAGCAACTATAACTGAATTTTTTTAGACAAAAGAAGTAAAAATGGATGCTACACTATAATATGTGTGAAAAAAAGGAATAATGTTGTGTGTCAATGTGTGTATATTCTTAATCAGAGTCACAATCAGTGCTTGAATTGGCTGTTTGGTAGGCTGTATTGTCATGGTTAAAAAAAAAATACTTTAAAAAAAACAACAACTTTTTTTTAACCTCAAAATCAGTTTTTCTCTATATGTTCTAAATGTGCCTGTTTCCAGCCTTGACGACCACCATGTTTGATCGGGGAGGAAGTAGGTAAATACTGAAATGATCTCATGACTCCTATCTTATCTCAAATTGGTGGAATTGGTGTTGTTACAACCCTCCCCATGTTACAACCATACCAATATGTTGATTCGTCCTCCATCTGTATTCTCTGTTACAGGGGTGGAATGTAAATAAGTATGTTTACTCAAGTACTGATCTTCAGCACAGTTTTAGGATGTAGTGGAGTAGAAGAATAAGGTTGCATAAAATGAAAATACTCGACTAAAGTACAAATACCTCGAATGTACACGTAAGTAGGCTACATTATTTGAGTAAATGTACTTAGTAACATTCCACCACTGATATAACCCAAATACTGCATATGAAGACATACATGAGTGTTTTTATGCTCTCGTGTTGGATGAAGGACCCCAAGCCTGTAGGGGGCGATGGTGGTGTTAGTGCTGTATTGAAACGACAATGAATGCTTTCGCTAAAGTGCGTCGGTAGTCCAACGTTGGCGCCAGATGAGCAGTGGCGCCAGCTATACACACAGACCGAGAGAGGAAGACACACACAGCGGTTTGACGAGCCTCTCAACAGCCTGCAAAGCCCTTCTCAGTCCAGAGTTTGAAGCAGTTAAACGATTCTCTTTTTTTCTTCTCCAATCAAAAGTAAAAAGACAGAAAGGTGGGTCTGTGCATGCACGAATTTATACACTTAAAACCGGCGTGATCCTTAACGTTACTGCTGTTGATTGTTCATCGTTTAAATACAACTCACTCTATCGTGAATAGTTGCAACGTTAGCGCAGAGAGAAGTCTCTGTTGAACGGAATATGATATTCTTTATTATGGTAGTCAGCGTACGGGGTTTTGTCTATGGTCTGCTTTTCTTCTCCAATTCTGATAGTAACGAACTTTGTAATGGAAAAATACAGGCCTCGACTCGCACTAACATTTTGTTCCGTTGAAAAAGCAGACACAGCGACATAAGTTAGGTACTGGCATAAGGAAATATCTCGGCTCTGAATCTCATCCAAGTTATTTTTGAGACATTAAAAAAATACATACTAACGTTATACATCGTCGTAGAATCGGCCCGTCCGCCTTTCATGAATCAACGTCAAGTGTGTCTTTGCATGCGAAATCAGACTTAACAAGGTCGGATGGGCGGTTTGGCAAAGCTTCCGCTCCTATGTTTTACAATCTACAGGCTAGTACTAAACTCGGGCGCAGGCTGTAGCCGGGCTAGCAAACTGGATTAGCTGGCTTGTTAGCCTGGCATCATGGCTATGTAGCCAGCACGCTAATACTGTCTCGGCTGGGTAGCTGCTAACATCAGCAAGGCCGCCATTGAAGTCGTGTGTGGTTTGTCTGGTGCTGCCGCAGTACAGGAGGGCTGTAGGTTTGCAGCCAAGATCTGTCGCACCCTCTTAAGCAGTAAAACTGCATAATAGTGTTGTTTGGTTGATGTATTTAAAACTGCGTTTGCTGTGGGAGTTGTGTCTTACGTGGATTCGTATGTAAGTAAAATGCGTCCTTTCCCGGGCTTTTCGCACAGCATTCATCGCCCTCACGGTTAGCCATCTTTGTTTCAGCTAGCCAAGTCCTGGTTGGAATTACGGTGTGGCTCATAGCTTGCTAACCTGTTTACCATTAGCTTAAAACGTCGTATTCGGTGATAGTACGTGTTAAACGAGCGTACACGGGTATGCCCATATTATCATACAAACATTTGGCTAAGACTGTTTTTTGGCTTGCACGGTGATCGTTTCGGGGTTGGCTCTTGCTAATTCAATATGTTTTGAAGGGCGGAAGCTAACTTGGCTAACGTTCGCTAGCGGCAGCCATCTTAGGCGAGCATGTAATCTTGGCTAGCTGGAAGTGCTGGTGTGGCACAACAAGATGGCCTGTTAATACTCGCACAAGGAGAATTTCCGCGTCCGTAGTTGTGTCAGAAATAGCACCAATTTACTCAGTTAATTTACCAATTTTAATGTAAGTATTTCGCTGTTCTCTTAGCGCTTACTACAATAACTCACATGTTGCTTTTGCTATGAAGCTAGTTAGCTGGCTAAATCGTGAACACCTTAGCAGCTAACACAATGCTGTTTTGTCGTTAACCAGTTCCCCCTCGATCGTAGCCAGCTAACTAGCGGCTATGAAGGCTATTTGTAGCTGTTATTGAAGGCTAGCAACCAGCTCTTCGGTGTTTAATAACAAAACATCGCTATTGAAATGCCTCTACTCATCAAAGTTGAATTTGATATTAACGCATAACTTGGCGAACTACGCACAAACTGATTGAACTTTGCAGGTCGGTCAGGCGTTGACTGGCGGATTAAGTTAGAATTGAGAGCTTGATCAACATGGGGTGGTCCATTTTGATTTTATCAATTGTGTTAGCTAGTGAAGCTCCTATTGAGCGCTAACTTGGCTAGCAAATAGATAATTTAGCTTGCTAAGTAGTACAAGCATACCGTTGATGATAAATGAGGCGTACACTTAACCGCAATCATTCAGTTTTCTAAGCATGACATTAATGCTGAAGACTCTTATGTTAGATTAATAAACATAGGCCAGAATTGATAATCTCATCTAATATGAAGGGCTTCCCTTGTCACACTAATCGTTGTTGTTTAAGGTGTGAACAATATTGCCAAATTGTGGTATATATAATTTTGGATCGGACCAATGGTGTATATATCACGGTACAGTTATTATTCAGTTAAGTAAATATTACCGTTCTAATCACACTTGATGATTTTCTTCTTTATATGGAACTTGCATACAAACAACCCCTCTCTGTATTTACAATCACTCTCCTCCACCTTTTGTCACACTCTTCTTCTGTGGTGGTTGGCAAATCAGCTTAGAGGTGCATTGTCTTCACTCTCATTGGATGTGAGAACGCAGTAAGCAGTCCTGCTTCCCAAATCGCTACCTTAGGAGGCATTTGGATTTGCTGGATCATGTGAGAATCCAGCCCTGATTGCTACATCCCATGCCCCAACTATATAGCAGAGACAATAAGGGATAAGTCCCACGGTGAAAACGGTAGGGCCAAATTTCTAACTGTGGAACCAATTGCTATATTGTGTCAGCCAAGGTTGTGGTGTCGAATCTCTGCAAGCAGGACTCCTCCAGGGGAAAATCAGTGTCAAACTTCTGCTGCAAACGCATTTTATTCTGTTTGATTTGTATCTTATCAGATGACGGGGTGATTATTAATGTTGTCTGCATAAAGATAACAGTTAAAGTCGTATGTTTTAATGGATGTTAATTTAAATCAGGGTTGTCTCTTTCCATAATTGTGTCCAGAGTCAGTGAGAACTATGATTAAAATAATTAACCTACATTTTTAACTAGGATACAAATTTTTCATAACACTATCGTGGTCTTTAATAAACCCAGAATATACTTTTTGTTGTAGAGACACAAACTAACTCAAAATAAAACACTTAATGCACTGTAGTTATATATGTCTTCTCTTTATTCACTCTTTTTGCAGGTCTGCTTACTGACCAGAGCATCAGCGCTGCACTGAACAAAACAAACTATACCCCCCGATTCCTTCTTGTGTCATCGCCCGGCAGGAAAACGGAGGTCGTGGGGCTGGAGTGTGTGCTCATGGCGGAGTCAGAGACTGAATGTGACACACCCGGCCTTGACACGCTTGGGTCGGAGTGTGTCATAGCCCACAGCCATGTCGACCTGCATTATGGAGCAGAAACTGAGATCATGACAGAAGAAAAGCGTGGATTGGAGCTGGAGATCCATGGCTCAGACTTAAAGATCCAGGGACTGGGGACAGAGCTTGGAGCTGTAGCATGTGTGGATGCAATTGTAGCCGAGTCAGACCACGATTACATTAAGGTGGAACATGGTGAGATGCACTGTTTCACTGGGGCAGAAATCAAGACGACAGGAAGTGAGGCTCTGCTGGGAGAGGTGCTGCTTAAGACGGAAAGCGAGCATGTGGTGAAAGTAGAGTCTGACCATGGTGGGGAGTTGACAGTAGAGTCTGAGAATGGTGTAATCATACATGAAGCCCACGGTCTGCAATGCAACGAATGTGGGGAGATTTTTGGCAGCATAGCTGATCTTCACCAACACTTTGAGATCCATAAAGACCTAAACCCTTACATCTGTGTCCACTGTGGTGAGAGCTTTGCTGTGGAGGCCAGCCTCAAGCAGCACATGAAGATTCACATGAAAGAAAAGCCCTATGTTCCCCCAGGAGTTGAGATAATGGGGAAAGATGTTATTGATGCCTACAGCCTGAAGTCTCATCAAATGATTCATTTGCCAGACAAACCCCACCGATGCTCAGAGTGCGGTAAGAGCTTTGCTGCAGCCATCACACTGAGAGAACACA